CTCTGGGCTGCGCCTGAAACCACCGTAATAATCGAGATCCCATGATCCCATGAATTGGAAACAGCAGTTTTACAATTCCTCTTCAAATTCACCCCATGCCTGTTTCTGCACGAAGACCACGCGAGGCGTCCCAACAGACCGTGGCCTGCATCAAGAACATGTCTAACCCACAGCGCAGGCACGGCAACTTGAAAAAAGGGGATCCCACAATTCCTTCTTTTCAAGTTCGCCCCCCTGTCGACTCTTGCACAACAGACCACATTTAAGGCCCCCCCAGTTCCCAGAAAAGAACCCAGGAAGCCTTTGAGGGCCCCAAATCGTTGAATACCGAACGGGGATTAATGATTTCTGCGTGTCCGCAGTTCCCCTTCTATACTATTCCGAGAGTTTCGCAGGGCCTCCAAGAGAGTACTTGAATGCAAGAAACGGCCAAACTTATATTCCATGAGTTCGCCCATCAAGCTTAGCTAGAACTTGAGCGCACGCGAAGCGCGCGATGGTTCTAGCCTATATATATATACACATTCGTTCGTGTGTATACAGATGTATGTATATGCTGTATGTATGTATGTATGCATGCATGCATGAATGCATGCATGTATTTATGTATGTATGTATGTATGTATGTATGTTTGTATACATATACATATATGTGTATATGTATATGTGTATGGTCGCCTCTTCTGTGATCATACCTCTCTCTGCTTATCTGCTTCTTCCTCGTGTTCCATTGTCTTTCTCTTCCCCCTCTCCTGCTCCTCCTGCTCCTGCTCCTGCTCCTGCTCCTCCTCCTCTTCTTCGTAGCACAACAGAACCAATACCAGGCAGCGCTTGGCGCCGTCAGTGCAAGGACATCCGTGCTTTTGTTGTCGTGTGTGTGTGTGTGTTTTTTGTTTGTGGATGTGTGAAGTCACGAAACATTGTTTCATGTGTTGTTGTTGGTTTTGCAGGCCCCAGTTCTCGCCGCGGCCTCCCTTGCAGTACTTCTCTCTGAGCCTGCAAGTAGTTGGCGCCCTTGGAAGTAAGCGCTGTGTATGATTTCTGGTCTGTAAAGCCACGAAACACTGTGTAAGTGTGGTTGTTGTTGTTGTTGAACATTATTACTTCTAAAGAATAAGTATTGTTGGGACCCCTGGTGCACGACCCCCCCGCCGCGCCTAGGCCGCAGCCTCATTTTCATCATTTTCGTGAGGAAGTCTCAAGCAAAACGGGTTGGTCCGGATCCGGTTGTGTTGTTACGATCGGTTTTCCCTTGCAAAAAATAAGCTAAAGTGGACATTTCTTGTTCTAACATAACCAAACTTCAAGAATCCCTTGCAAAAAATAAGGTAAAGTGGACATTCGCGCGCGCAAGACGGAATCCTTCCAAAACCTTAGTTTTCGTAGCGATTTTAACATAAAAACATCAAAAAACCAATGGTTTTTCAAAAAAAAATTGTCAAAATTTCATCCCGCGCGCTCTTGCGGATTCGTAGGAAACCCAACACTTTTTAAACATTTCTGTCAAACGGGCTTTTGCGAGCAACTTTTTCGAACTTCTGCAACAACGGTTGCGCACCTGCCAGGGCCATCATCCCTGTCAAATAATACCATGCGGGACACATTCGTTTTTTCTTCGCGCGCGCACGCCGTCGTCGTCGGCCGCGGGGCCCTGAATAGTAGCCACGGTCGTCCGCATGCCACGAAGTGAAGTGTCCGAACGTCATAGGGCGGGAAGCTGGGTGTGGGTGGTGGCGAAGAGTCGTTTGGAAATTTGGTAGAGCTTGAACCGGCCCCCCCACAAAGTGGGGGTATTGCCCGCCTCCTATGAAAACCCTGGCACTGGTGAGAACGGTGTGTCCCCACGTGCTAGTAATTGTTGTTCTTGTTGTTGTTGTTGTTGTTGTTCTTGTTGTTGTTGTTGTTGTTGTTGTTTTTGGTGTTGCTGTTGCTGTTGTTGTTGTTGTTGTTGTTGGTGGTGTTGCTGTTGCTGTTGTTGTTGTTGTTGTTGTTGTTGTTGTGGTTGTTGTTGCTGTTATGGTTGCTGTTGTTGTGGTTGTTGTTGTCGTCGTTGTTGTTGACGTTGCTGTTGTTCTTGTTGTTGTTGTTGTTGTTGTTGAGATTTTGCTTGCAAGTTACTGAAGAATGGCCTTGCGTGGGATTTTCTTACAATTTGCCCAAGCGCCGCGCTCCCGACACCCAGGCACCCAGGAGTCGTGCCCGTTGTGGCCCCTTGTGCATGCCCTTCGTGGCCCCGCTGTCGCCATTTGTGTCCCCCTCACTGTCCTACGTGGCCCAGTTGCTACCCTCAGTGGCCCCATGGTTGCCTTCTGTGGCTCCGCATTATCTGCACTTCGTGGCCCCCGCTCGTTCGCGTTCTCCGTGGCCCCATACGCATTCCCTTTATGTCCCCGCTGTCGCCCTTCGTGGCCTACTTCGTGCCCTTCGTGGCCCTGCTGTCGTTCTCTCTCGCTCTCGCTTTCGCTCGTCGTCGCCGTCGTCGTCGTTGCCGTCGTCTTCGACGTCGTCGTCGTCGTCGTCATCGTCGTCGTCGTGGTCGGTCCCCTGTCCGTCCCTCTTGGGGTCGGGTCGACGGTCCGCGGCCGCCCCGCCGATCAGCGCTGCCGCTGGCCAGGCCGACGGTACGCGGCCGCCCCGCGGCTTGCCGGGGCCTGGCCTGCAGGGAAGAACGGTATACCCCCCAAAAGGGGTTTTCTATCGAAGACGAAGAGGGCGGGTATCGAGGGTTTGTGAAATACGCCTTATTGGACACTCGAGCATATAAGGGCGAACGGTGTTAAATTATTGTTGTTGTTGTTGTTGTTGTTGTTGCTGTTGTTGTTGTTGTTGTTGGTGTTGGTGTTGTTGTTGTTGGTGGTGGTGTTGTTGTTGTTGTCGTTGTTGTTTTTTTGGGGGGGGTGCAAGCCCCAGTGCTCGCGGCGGCCTCCCTCGCAGGACCGCCTGCCTGAACCTGCATTGCCAGAAGCAACAAACGTACGCAGTCCTTGGGTGGCGCCCTCGGTGCAAGGAGACATTTGAACATTTTTGGGGGTTTGTGGAAACAAGGAACACTTTTCTGTTCTGGACGCCCCAGGCAGTGCTCGCCGCGGCCTCCTTCGCAGCATCTTCCTTGAGACCTGCACAGCCGAACCAAACAGCAACCACACAGTGTTTCCATGGTTTCCAGACCCCACAAAACCAAAACAACCAAACCATACAACGCGTTTCCTTGAACCGAGGATGAGGACTCCTGGCCATGAAGGATTCCTTCGTTTAGATTCCTCATAAAGGACTCATTCGTCAAGACTCCTTGGCAAGGGTTCCTTAGTACATGTTCTGTAGTTCGGATTCGTTGCTTAAGATTCCTTGGTAAGGGATCCTTCGCCGAGATTTCTTATTCAGGATATCTTACATTCCCTATCACAGATCTCTTACATCGGATTCCTTAGTAATGTTCTTTTAGTAGAATTTCTGTGCTAAGGACTTCTTGCCCAATATTATTGCACATAGCATTCTTTATCCAGGAACCCTTATTTAAGATTCCTTAGTTCAGATTCGGTCTAAAGGATTCCACACGGCGGCTTCCGGAGGAAAGCCTTCTTATCAAGGAGTTTTGATTAAGGATGTTTTGTTCGAGATGTTTTATGGAGGGCCCCTTGCTGAATGTTTGTTTATCAGATTCCTTTTCTAAGGATTCCCTCTCCAGGTTTCCTTCGTTATGGTTATGAATGAAGGACTCCGTAGTGAAAAAAAGGTTCCATCTTAAGGGTTTCTTAGTTCAGATGTTTTATCAAGGAATCTGTGCTACATGTTCCTTAGTATGGATTCCTTCGTACACGATGCCTTATTCACTAAGAATTCCTTCGCTCATGCTATTTATCCAGTATGTTGTCTGAATGATTTTCTCGTACATAGTGTTTATCAAGGATCCCTTAGCTCAGATTCCTTATTCGGGATTCCTTAGCAAGGATTTCTGATTAAGGATTTCTTAGTGAGGAAACCTTATTCCGGATACCGTAGTACAGATTTCTGATTAAGGGTTCCTTGGTAAGTAGTCCTGAGGGAGGAATCCGTACTTCGGATTCTTTACGAAGGATCTACAAGGATTCTGTATTCATCATTCTTTGGCCAGGACTCCTTAGTTCACGACTCCTTACTCAGGATTCCTTTGTCAAGATTTCGGAATGCGATTTTTTCGTTCAGAGCAGTTATTTCTGTTTTTTTTGGTAAAGACTTCTTTTTCGGGATTCTTTGGCAAAGATCCCTTAGTACGGATTCCTTGGCAACTTTTCCTTATTTCAAGGGTTCCTTAATTAATGTTCCTTTGGAAGGATTCAATTGTACATATTCTGTATCAAGGATTCTGGATGAAAGATCCGATGCGTCCGACATGTATTCGTGAATGGGACCCCGACGGGACAAATAATGTCCCCCGAAGATGCAAGATAACTTCGGGCTGCCCCATGATGCGCCATCCCCCTCTTCGTGGCCCCCCTCTGCGGCACGCCAGACCACAAGCCGTGTGAGAAGGGGGGGGGGAGAAGGGACCGCATATTGGTTGGAGATCGCTTGCGCGCGGCTGCCGTCAACTGAAGGGCCCCACTGGCGAAACTAGTCTAAGAGCCACGTGGCTTATCACCGTGAAACTGGCTCGTCAAACAGACAGCGAGAGATCGGCAGGTGTGCGAAGGGCGTTGTGGCGAGTGGGCCCCTTTCCTCGTCAGTCCCTCAGTGCTCATGGAGCGTTGCGAGGACTCATCCGGCTTGTGTCGGGGACAGAAGCAGGATGAACACAATCGGCAGGGCTGTTGTTATGGAGTGTGATGTCAAGATCAAGAGGACGGAACATGACAAGGCTGGGGGGCCACGGAGATGTGGAAGGACAGGGCGTGAGTATGATGATGGGTCGCAACGAGTGACCTCGTGCTGGTCGTGCGACACGGTCTCCTTGCCCGCTGCGGCCTGTCGTGCCCCCTTGGCTTTTGCATGCCCTGTGCTTCCGAGATTCCGCTGCCCCGCAGGACAAGGAGAAAGCGAAGGATAGAGAAAAGGACAAGGAGGCGCGGGCCGGCCCCGCTATGAGTATGTGTGTGTTGTCTGATTATCGAACATGTCGTAAACATATTTTGTCGGAGCTCCGCGCGGATTTCGCGAATCGGCGCTGGCCCCCTCTGGCGGCGCCTCCAGCGCCGATCCAAGAAATTCGAGCGGAGCTCCAGCAGTTGATGTTTGCCGTTTTTTGTTGGCTGTTTGAGGGTGTGGTTTGCGATATGCGCCGTTGGGGTTTGGGGTGGAAGCACGTTGCGCCGAAGTTTTGGTGAGCCCTCGTCGGGGCGCGGCGGAGAACCCTGTCGAGGTCCTCGCCCGACTCCCAGGCCGTGGGTGGCAAGCCGCACTCTTTTTGCAAAGCACACCCTCCGGAGTCGCCGAGAGAGGCGGAGGATGATGAGGGGGGGTGCAGGGGCGAGGACGCGGTGGAGCAGCAGGAGGAGGAGGAGGAGGGGGAGCAAGGGCAGGTGGAGGACGGGGGGGAACGAGCATTGCTAGGACGAGGAGCATGGGAGTCGAAGAAGCAAGAGACGTAGGAGGACGCGGAGGAGGGGAGGGGGGAGGAGGAGGGGCAGGAGGAGGAGGCGGAGGAGGAGGCGGAGGAGGAGGAGGAGGGGAGGAGGAGGAGGTAGATGATTAGGAGGAGGAGCAGATGGAGGAGGATGAGGAGGAGAGGAAGAGGAGGAGGAGGAGGAGGAGGAGGAGGAGGAGGAGGAGGAGGAGGAGGAGGAGGAAGAGGTCGAGGTGGGGTTGGGGGCCGTGGTGGGGCCTCTGGTGGGCAGTGCGGAGCGTTTTGGGAAACTCTCGGTGGGCCTCTTGCGAGCTTCTTTGGGGCCTCCAGGGGCTTTCTGGGGCTTCTTGGGGGCGTCTTGGAGGCAGTCTTGGGGCCTTCTGAGAGCTTCTCCGGGGGATGGGCTCGAGATGTCCGTTCGAGTCCCCCGCCTGGTCACCCTCTTGGAGCCGTTTTGTGTGCCTCTTGGTCTGTCTTGGAGGCGTCTTGGGCCGCTAGGGGCCCTCTTGGGCTATTTTGGGGGCCTCTTGGAGGACTTTGGGCCGTCTTGGGGCGATCTTGATGGCCTCTTGGGTCGGGAAGCGGAAGAGGCGAGAACGCCCAAATCCGTCGAACACCTAAGGGAAATTTTTGTGTTCCAACCATCTTGTGGTGTTGGGTCATCGTTTTGAAGGGAGAGCGCCCCGCGTTCACACCTTCCTTCCTCCTCCCCCTCCTCTCCTCCTGCCTCCCGCCACATCTTATTTGCCCTCCGCATGTTTCTGTTTCGGCACACTCCTCACATGTTCCTTGGCCCCATAGGAAGCTCCACCTAATGCCGCAGTGGCAGTGCCCGCATGGCACCACCGCACCCGTTTCGACACATCTCTCGCACGTTTCTTGGCCCCACAGGGAGCTCCAGCGAAGGCCCCAGTGGCAGCGCCGGCATGGCACCACCGCACCCGTTTCGACAGCCCTTGCACGTTTCGTGGCCACATAGGGGGCTCCCCCGAAGGCCCCAATGGCAGCGCCATCATGGCACCACCGCGCCCGTGTCGACACACTCCTCACACGCTTCGTGGCCCCATAGAGAGCTCCAGCGAAGGCCTCAGTGGCAGCGCCCGCATGGCACCACCGCACCCGTATCGACTCACCCCTCAAATGTTTCGTGGCCCCATCGAGAGTTCAACCGAATGCCCCAGTTGCAGCGCCCGCATGGCACCACTGAACCCGCACACCCCGCAGAGTTCGTGACCCCACAGGGAGCTCACAGTCCCCAGTGGCAGCGCGCGCATGGCACCACCGCACCACCTTCGGCACACTCCCTCGCACGTTTCGTGGCGCCATAGGGAGCTCCTCCTAAGGCCCCAGTGGCAGCGCCCGCATGGCGCCAGCACACCCGTTTCGGCACACCAATCACACGTTTCGCGGCCCCAAAAATACTCCATCGAAAGCGGTCGGTACTGACAACGCGGTGCTCACAAATGCACATGGTTGGGTCTTTTGCCAGGGTAATATGTGTCTCTTGAGGCCTTCTTGGGAGTGTTCATGGAGGCCTCTTGGGGCGTCTTGCAGGCCGCATGGGCCGTCTGGAGGCCGTCAAGGCATCTTGTGGATAGATCGTTCGGCGATTCGGGGCCCTCTTGGACCGTCGTGGGGGCCTCTTCGGGCACTCACGGCCCGTCCTGCGGCTTTTTGGGGACCCAGGACGCCCCCTGGGGAGTCATATTTGGGTGGCGACCCCGCCCCCCCGGGACCCTCTCTGGGACTCCTTCCCGGGACCCCCTTCCCGACGGGGGAGCGATCAATGGGAGGGGGCCCCCTTCGACTTAATTACGAAGTTGCTCAATTTCGCTTTGGCTTGCGCGCTTGATGAGGAGGGTCCAGAAAAAGGGCGGGAGCGGCGACGGGCCCAGGGAAACGGGGGCCGCAGAGAAAGGGGACGACAGAGACAACGACTAACGAATGATGGAAACGACGACTCGAACGGACAAGCCCCGCACGCACGCCTACAGGGTCGGCGGATTTTCTCTACGCCGACGTCGCCGATCTTCCGTCCCCACATGCCCGAACCGCAGTTGGGCGGCCTCCAAGAAGGAAGTGTGTCTCGATGGAAAAAACAGGGTCCTGGGCCCAGGGGCGTTCTCCAGGCTGCTCCAGGACCAGCTCTTGACCTTGAGCAGTTTCCTGAAGGCTCCAGTCGGCCTCGTCCATGTCGGGGCCGTCCAGGGCGGGGGTGCGGGGAGATCCGGGGGGAAGCAGTTCTTCGGTGCTTGGGGCCTTCCTCGCTTCGGGATGCCCTCCAGCAGCTTCGCCGCGGACGCAGCTTGCCGCGGGAGGCCGGAGGTGTGGGCCGGAGGTGTGGGCCGGAGGTGTGGGCCGGGATGACCAACCCGAAGGGCCGCGGGAGGCCGGAGGTGTGGGCCGGAGGCCCCCGTGCCCCCCGTGCGTCGAAGTGGGGATTGGGGAGGAAGGGTGCGTAGACACCATGGCAAGGAGGAGGAGGAGGAGAAGGAGGAGGAGGAGAGGAGGGGCGGAGGGGAAGGAGGAGGGGGTAGGAGGAGGAGGAGGAGGGAGGAGGAGGAGGAGGAGAGGAGAGGAGGAGGAGGAGGAGGAGGAGGGGAGCAGGAGCAGGAGGAGGGAGGAGGAAGGAGAGGAGGAGGATGAGGAGGCGGAGGAGGAGGAGGAGGGAGGAGGCGGAGGGCGGAGGAGGAGGAGGAGGGGGAGGAGGGGGAGGAGGAGGAGGAGGAAGGAGGAGGAGGAGAGGAGAGGAGGAGGAGGAGGAGGAGGAGGAGGGGAGGAGGAGGAGGAGGAGGAGGAGGAGGAGGAGGAGGAGGAGGAGGAGGAGGAGGAGGAGGAGGAGGAGGAGGAGGAGGAGGGAGGAGGAGGAGGAGGCGGAGGAGGAGGAGGAGGAGGAGGAGGAGGAGGAGGAGGAGGAGGAGGAGGCGGAGGAGGAGGAGGAGGAGGGGGGAGCAGGAGGAGCAGGAGGAGGAGGAGGAGGAGGAGGGAGGAGGAGGAGGGAGGAGGCGGAGGAGGAGGAGGAGGAGGGGAGGAGGGAGGAGGGGGAGGGGTAGGAAGGAGGAGGAGGAAGAGGAGGAGAGGAGGGGGAGGAGGAGGGTAGTGAGGAGGAGGGGGAGTGATGAGGAGGGGGAGGAGGAGGAGGAGGAGAAGGAGGAGGAGGAGGAGGAGGCGGAGGAGGAGGAGGAGGAGTAGGAGGAGGCGGAGGAGGAGGAGGAGGAGGAGGAGGAGGAGGAGGAGGAGGGAGGAGGAGGAGAGGAGGAGGGAGGAGGAGGAGGAGGAGGAGGGGGAGGGGAGGAGGAGGGGAGGAGGGGAGGAGGAGGAGAGGGGGGAGGGGGAGGAGGAGGGAGGAGAGGAGAGGAGGAGGAGGAGGAGGAGGGGAGGGGAGGAGGAGGAGGAGGAGGAGGGGGAGGAGGGGGAGGAGGAGGGGAGGGGGAGGGGGAGGAGGAGGAGGAGGAGTAAGGGGTGCTTAGCCACCACGGCCATGGCCGTGCAGTCTCTCGGATCTCAGGGCGCCCTCGCTTCCCCCCCTGCCCCCTGTCGTCCGCGCACACGCCCAGGTTCGGTTTTTTTTGGCGTCTTCGGGGAGGTCCTGCCCGCCCCCCCAAATAGATTTGTGTCCTCCGCTCTCGTGCCCTGTGCGCGGGCTCGACGCGGGTGTGGTTTCGGCTTCGGTTTCGGCGCGGCTTCGGCACGGATCCGGCGCGGACTCGGCATGGATCCGAGGAGTTCGACGTGGATTCGGCGCGGATGGGACCACGACGGGAGAGAAGGCCCCTCGAAGATGCAGCGTAGCTTCGGGCCGCCCCGTGATGCGTGGCCCCACCTCTGGTGGCGCGCCAGACCATCAGCCGCGTTAGAAGAGGGGGGAGAGGTGAGCGCTTGCACGCCGCACGCGCCCCAGCACGGCAGGTTTCTCAGGCTTTTCCCTCCCCCCGTCCCCTTCCCTCTCTCCTCCTCCCTCCCCCTCCCCCTCACCTTCAAGCCGACGTTCCAATGTTGTTCAGTGAATGATATATTCGTCGCCCGCCGTCAATGGCACCATGCTGTTTTGAGTGATGCTCGAGGGGGTTTCTTGATCACGTTTTGTTGATTCAGCCGAGCTACGTTGCCGATGCGCCGTCGGGGCGCCTGGCTTCTCTTCTTTCCCTGGCGTGGGTCGGGAAGGGTGTCAGAAGGACGCACAGAACCATATCTATTGCCACCACATGTTGACTGTAGAGCGCTCGCCCGCGGCTGCCGTCGGCGGTTCAAGGCTGGCTCAGCACCGTGAAACTGCCTCGTTAAAGAAAGGGCGAGAGATCGGCAGGTCTGCGAAGGGTGTTGTGGCGAGTGGGCACCTTTCCTCGTCAATCCCTCAGTGCTCATGGAGCGTTGCGAGGACTCACCCGGCTTGTGCCGGGGACAGGAGCAGGATGAGCACAATCGGCAGGGCTGTTGTTATGGGTGCGATGTCAGGATCAAGAGGACGGAACATGACAAGGCTGGGGGGCCACGGAGATGCATGGCGTGAGTGCGATGACGAGTCGCAGCGAGTGACCTCGTGCTGGTCGTGCGACACGGTCTCCTTGCCCGCTGCGGCTTGCCGTGCCCGCTTGCCCCACAGGACAAGGAGAAAGCGAAGGATAGAGAAAAGGACAAGGAGCGAGACAAGGATTGCCAGACGCGCTTCGCGCCGGTTTGAGGGCACTGAGTCCAATTTTGCGCGCCACCGTTTTTTCCCCCCACCCCTCTCCCCAGCCGCCCGTCTTCCAGTTCGTTGCACGACGGATGTTCTGAAAGACCGCGACGATTGCGCAGACCACAGGCAGTGGTTCTGCCTTTGTACCAAATCAGCGGTATGGGGACACATTATAATACGATCTTCTGGTCGGGGCCCGCGAACAGGAGGATGAGGATGCAGAGGACGAGGGTGAGACGGATGATGGTGAGGGGGAGGAGGACGAGGAGCTTTACAATCACGTGCTTAGCGTCTGAAGGGCGACCCCTCTGGCGCCCCACACATACAGTATCTTTGAGTTTCGTTTTCTCGTCCCACAATGCCTTGGCTTTGATCCCCCAGAATGTGAATGCACCGCGGGGGGAGATCTTTATTGAAGCCCAACGGAATTCGTCCGTGGTGTCGGGGTCGGGCCGTGTATGTATGGCCATTTGTGCCCTCAACTGCCCCTGCCGCCTCACGTGGCCTCCTCTGGCCCTGGGCGTCGCTCTCGCGCGTGGGTGCTTGGCCTCGCATCGCCGCCGAAGGGCTCCTGCGGCCCGGCATTGCCGGACGGACCCCCCAGGAATTCCTCCTCCTCCTCCTCCTCATTCTTCCTCCTCCTCCTCATTCCTCCTCCTCCTCCTCCTCATTCCTCCTCCTCCTCCTCATTCCTCCTCCTCCTCCTCCTCCTCATCCCCATCAATCTGTGGTACCGAGCCCTCGTTTTGACGAGGCAGCGCCCCGCGTCCTCTCCCTCCTCCCTCCTCCCCCTTCCTCCCCCCTCCGATCCCCGTCTCTGCCCCCCCGCATGTGCATCACAGCACGCCCCCCTACACGCTTCGTGGCCCCATGGTGAGCTCCACCGATTGCTCCAGTGGCAGGGTTCGCATGTGGTTCCCCGCCCATTTCGGCACACCCCTAACACGCTTCGTGGCCCCATGGGGAGCTCGACCGGATGCCTCCAGTGGCAGGGTTCGCACGCGGTTCCCCGCCCATGTCGGCACACCCCTCACGCGCTTCGTGACCTGCCGGGAGCCTCGATCACGGGTGCTAGCACCACGGGTGTTTCGCATCTTTGGATAACCAGTTATCGTAAGTCCCCCGCGGGTTTTGAGCTCAAGCATTGGGCTTGGCGGATGTCGCAGATTGGACGGCCCAGTCCTCGCGAAGGGCGTTACGGTAGGTCTGCGTCGTGTCGACTCGTCGCGACCCCAGCGCGGGCGTTCAAGGTTGAACGCCGGCGGCGGCCCAGAATCGGTCGATGTTGAACGATTGGACGTTGCGGAGACGGCCGATCGTTCAAGGTTGAACGATCCAACGCGGTGTCAAAAACCAACGCTGGGGTCGGCACGACACGAACCCGCCGTAGCCGTAGATGCGCCTCGCGCGCGCGTGCCGACTCGTAGGACAGATCCCCCAAACCGTGCCTTCACTTAGTGGGGTCGTACTCGCGTTGCTAAGTAGTTGGATGGGTCGGGCGACGTTTCTCTACGTTCGCGCCCGCGCCCGCCCTGACCTTACGGCGGAACTTATAGCGCAACAGATTGAGAGGATCTCGCTTCGTTCGCGCCAGAGTCCGCCCCTATGGCGCAATTTAAGGCACAGCATACGGCACGACACACTGGATGGGTCGGGCGAGGTTCCGCCACGTTCGCGCCCGAGCCCACCCCTATGGCCGATGGCGCAATCAACGCGGCAACCCACGGCGCATCTTATGGCCATGCCGCAACCTCTGGCGCAACCTGGGGGTGCAACATGTACAACGTAGGTTGCACCACAGTAGTTGAACCGCTTAGATGACAACGCCGAAATTGCACCGCCTGCAGTGCGCTTCGTATATGGCACATACTGAACGCACTAGCTCACTGTTTGGGGCGCGCGCTGGAAGACATATGCAACCCGCGCCTTTGTACTTATCCCTACGTGTCGCCCTCTTCCCCTCCTGCACCTCGCCCTGTTCGTTCATCCCTCCGTATCCCGCCTCTCCACCTCCACCGGATCCTCATTAGTTTGGTTTCGGTGCCCGCCGAGGGGCGACCATGACGCCGCCGCGAGCAGACGAGTGAATTTCCACACCGTCGAGCTGCTTCTCGGCTGACCATTTAGCGCGAGGGCCCATCAAGGAAATTCTTGACGCTTCGCGTATCTCCACCAGCCCATCCAGAAGCGACGCCCAGGCGAGTTGAGGTGATGAGGGAAGTGTAGGAGCAAAGAGAGGGACAGCCGAACCGTTCGACGGAGGAGGAGGACAAGGAGGAGGATGGATGGATGAGGGAGGAGGGAGAAGGATGATGAATATGATGAGGAGAGGAGGATGGAGGAGGTGGCGGAGGGAGAGGAGGGATTGGGTAGGCGGATAAGGAGGAGGAGAAGGAGGAAGAGGAGGAGGAGAAGGAGGGGGGATGATGATGATGATGATGAGGAGGAGGAGGAGGAGGAGGAGGATAACAAAACTGACGAACATGAGAGCCTCCTACGATGTCTCTTGGGAATTATTTTGGATGCCTCTTGGAGGGTATGGGGGGCATCTTGGGTGACTCGGGGATAGTCTTGAAGCCTCTTGGGGGCCTCTTGGTGGCCTCTTGGGGGTTTCTTAGGGGTTCTCTTGGGAGCCTCTTGGAGGCCTCTGGAGACCCTCTGGCAGCCTCTTGGGGCGCTCTTGGGAGCTTTAGGGGCGCTCTTGGGCCCGATGCGTCACGGACTCGGTGCGTGACGACGTTCCGAAACACGTAAAGCAACATGTCACGGATTCGGTGCTTCTTGGGCCCTTTTTGGGTTTTCCTCTGGCATCTTGGGGCGTTCATTGGGGCTTCATCGGCTTCCAAGAGGCCCCAACAAGGCACGTACTAGCAAGCATCCCGCCGAACTCTTTCCGACGGGTTCGACCCAGGACTCACTGGAGGGTCTTCGCAGGGTCTTTGCATGTTTTTTCGCAGGTCATTGCGATGGTCTTTGCGGGGTCTTTGCAGGAGGAACTCTGCAGCGTACTGCAGGGGGTCCATGGGGAGAGAGTCGGGAGATGGGGGTTATGAGAAGTTGGAAGGCGAAGCTCTCATAACCACGTCACACACACACACCCAGGGACTGGTTGGATTTATGCGAGGTGCATTGTTTAGGTGATCGAAAAATCAATGTTCGAACACATGTTTTCGTGTTCGAACAATTTCTCTGGTGTTCGAACAATCGTTTTCGTGTTCGAACACGTCTCCGGTGTTCGAACAGTCGTTTTTGGTGTTCGAACAATTTTCTGGTGTTCGAACACTCGTTTCCGTTGTTCGAACAATTTTCTGGTGTTCGAACGGTTTTTTCCGGTGTTCGAACATTTCTGTACATATCGTTTTTGTACTAGTGCTAACAACCACGCAATGTTCGAACAACGTTCTTGTTGTTCGAACATTTTTTCGATGTTCGAACAATGTCGCGGCCGTCGTTGCACGATCGCGCGTACGAGTAACGACCGTACAAGTCGGCTGCGTCGGGACGGCGCTCCCGCACATCATGTCAAAGCCTGGGCAGAGGGGTCTGCTCGCAGGGAGACGGGGGCAACTGTGGGCCGAAACGTGTTCGCAGGGATATCCCTGGGGCACACTTTTGGGGGGCCCTCGTGGGAGTTCCGCTGGGGCTGCGCGGGGCTCTCCTGGTGCGTTCTTGGAGCCAGTGGGGGGCTTCAATGAGGCCCAGCGGGGCCCCAAGGGTGCTCATAAGGCGGCCCCCAACGGTATCATGCCAAGGGCTTTTGGTACGTATGATATCCATGGGGGCCTTTTTCTGCCCCTCTCGCTCACTCTTTTGGACCCCTCTTCGAAACTCCGTTGGTGGTGTCTAGGGCCTTACAGTGCCCTCTATGGGGTTGGGGAAGGGACCCCGAGAATGCCCAGGAGGGCCACCAGAGGGCCCACAACCAGCGCCCCCCAACGATGGGGGGCCCTTTGGGGTCTCTCCGGAGCCCTTCGGGGCATCTCTTGGAACTCTCTTAGGGTCGTCTGGAGACGTCCTGGGCCATCTTTGGGGCCGAGTGACGGCCCCCAGCTGGGCCAACGACATCGTACCAGGGGCTGTTGGTAATTATGATGAAGAATGTCTTAGGCCCTTCTCGGGCCCCTCTTGGATGCCCTTTCACCCCCATATTGGAGGTCTGTTGTCGCTGCGTGGGGCCCGTCTGTGCCGTCTTTGGGCCAGAGGAGGGCTTAGCCGGGGGGCCCCCAATTCGCGCTCCCCTTCGGGAGCCCCCAAAATCGTTTCTAGGACCCCTCTTGGGGCGCTCTTGGAGCGTTCTTGGGCGCTCTTGGGGCCGTCTTTGGGCTCTCTTGGGCCTCTCTTGGGGCCCTCTTGGGCCATCTTGGAGCCATCTTGAGGCCTCGCGAGGCTATCGGAAGCGAAAATGCGAGAAAGCAAAAATGCAGCTCTTTGGAGGTCTTGGAAGCCTCTTGGAGCCATCTTGGAACGTTCTTGGGGCCTTTTGGAGCATCTTGGGAACCATCTTGAAGCATTTCAGGCTATCTTGAGCCATCTTGGAGATCGTCTTGGGTTCCCTGAGGCGCTCTTGGAGCCGCCTTGGGCGAACAAGTACCCTCTGACACCTCGCGCCCCCCGCCCCCCCGTCCAGGTCCAGGGGAGGGGGTAGGGGGAGGGGTAAACCCCTCCCGGAAGGGAAGAAGGGGTTCGGAAGAGGAACCTCTCTAGACGACATACGCCCTCAAGGGCTGGTGGGACTCGTCAGCCAGATGGCGTTCATCTCCAAAACGCGTTGCATCACAGCGTGCCCAGTTTCATACACAAGGTACACGTATCGTTTTTGCATTTTGTGTGGCTCGTTAAGGAGCGGCAGCAATATGTGGCACCAGCCACTGCCCAGACTCATGCCACGTGCCACGGCGCCTCATGTTTGCGCGCCTCAGATCCCCTGACCATACCAAAATCACCACTAAACCCAACACGCGCGTGCGCGCAGAGCGT